CAGGTAAGAGATGAAGCTCCTGAAGAAGTGGCAAGGAGACAGAAAATATCTCAGAGAAATGTTCTGTCTTCCTCCTCTTCCATCTCTCCTCTCCAGAGACTTCCCTTGCAGGAGCCAGCTGTACCAGATGGGACTCTGCTTGTGGGTAGGGGCCCGGGGAATAGATTTTTCCTTGTTGGGCCAGAGGAACAAAAAGGACTGGGCTCAAGGGCAAACAGATCTAGTAATTGCAAAATCCATTGAAGTGATTTGAGCTGTAGAGATCACAGAAAGGAAGCCTGCTCTCTCTTAGAAGGCCTGTGTACAAGACAAAAGTCCCTTCCTCTTTGACTTGCCTGACCACGTCAGGAGGGAACAGTGATGCATGCAGTTACCACAAAAATGCAATGTGAAACCAAACTTTGGTTTCTGTTTTTTTGTTTTTGTTTTGTTGTTGTTGTTTTGTTTTTAGTTCTAAAAGAAATTGCTTTTTAATTTTTTCAAACAGCCTACATGTAAGATTTTCTGTTCATGTTGCTAGTAAATTTTATTCATCAGTAACCCCTTAAATTAGCCAACAAAGGTTTATTTGCCCAAGTTATCATGCTTCATGACACAGAGAACACAGGAGTGGGTGTTCTCTTTGAGTTTTTATACTGACCTGCAGTATTTTGATAAATGCTATTGCCTAGAAGAATTCCATAGAAAGTCTGGGTGCCATCCGTGTTTATTTCTGTAGGAATAGTGACTGCCAGGAGAAAATTCGGATGCTCGTTTAAAAGACGCAACAGAAGCAGAGTCCACAAGGACACCTTTAACATAATCACTGTACCTTTCAATGAAACCATGCTTTGTGTATTTCAAGCTGCTTTACTGTGCTTTTGTCATGGGTTTCTATAAAACTTGTGCAAATGGGGCATTGGCTTCTTGTCGAAAAAAAAAACACTATGCTGAAAACTACCCAGAAAACTACGCTAATACCGGGCACTCTTCAGGATGCTTGAAAGTTGTATTGTCTACTCTGCAGCTGATTTGCCAGAACACACTCACCAGACACCTTCTTTGGGCAGCAGGATTGTGGCTTATTAAATAGATTGTTTTATCAGGAAGAGAGTCATAAAAGTGGATATTATATTATTCTTATTTCAAGAAAGGAGAGGCCAAGGCAGAGGGCTCTTACTCAGTGTTAGCTGACGGTCAATGAAATATTCGTAGCAAGGCGATCTAAGAAAATACTGTTTCTCCCACGCGTGCCTTCTTTATTTCCTCAGCCAGCAGTATCCCTCATCACAGAGACACATGTTCAGCTTGTGCAGCTACCTTTCTTACACTTGCCAGGGTACCCAGGGATAACACTTCCTACAGCTTTCTGTGCCCTCATTACATCAGTAGCTATCAAGAAAAATGCCCCACAGACATAGTCACAGGCCGCTTTGGTGGAGGCTAATTCCTTAATTCTGATTCCCCGGGTGTGTTAAGTTGACAACTAACAGTAGCCATTACACCAATGATGTGATGGTCAGTGCTTGAAATACTCTTACTACATGAATTCACTGTAGTCCCAGCTGTTTCATGTGACGCAATGTGAATCAACTATCTTGGTTATGATCTTTTTCAATCACTTCTCATAAAGAATTGTATAAATATGTTCTTCCTCCCACTGTTTTTCTCTGGGGATGATCAGTCCTCCCTAGGATGAGGATGGGGAAAAGGGCAATGCAGTGCCAGCCAATTGAGAGGCCAAGAGAGCAAAGCTTTGAGCTGGGCTACTTGGCAGCCAACTTAAACACTGATATTCTGCTGAGCAATTTGAAGTTGCGACGTTTCATTCAATCTAAATTTCATACGTCTTCAAAGTTTACTGAACATTACTCTGGGGTGGCGGGTCATTTTAAAAGTCTTTCTATCTTAGATTCAGGTCAAATTAATCAAACCAATCAATGGGGAAGACCAGCGTGGACTTGAGGCCCCCAATGACCTACTGCTGTGAAAATAACTTCCACCCGGGCTCCTTCTTTGAGGTTCTACTTGCTCATTTTCTAATTCCAAAGTACATAGCTAATCTTTACTACTAAAATTGTCTCACCTGTCACCTGGCATTCATGTTTTATGTCTTATAAAGTTATTGACATATTATTGTATGAATGATAAATCAAAGCTTTCTGTCATCGGTTCACCATAATACTGTCGCATCTGTATTCTGCTTTCTTTTAATTGCTTTCTTTTCTTAGGACCTTCACCCTGTTTTAGAAGGTCTCCTGAGATTCTACCAGAAGAATATAAACATCTGACCATTTTCCACCACGGAAACCAACGCTAAGAATGTTTGATTTAACAAGGGCCAATGTGTAGAGTAAGACAAAGATTGTTGGTTGTTGGTTATCATTCGGGCTCTGACTTTAAAAGCTTTCTTAACAGACTGAACCTAAACAGTGAGAAACCAATCATCTTGCAAAAAGGCAGGTACAGGCACACAGAGCTTGAGAAAACTTGGGAGGCCCTGTCCTTGTTGATGGGTAGGCTTAGTTACTTTGTTGCTTTCTATGGAGGAGCTGATCTGAGGAAAGGATTTAGTAGCTACAGAGATTTTTTTTTCTAATAATTTTTATTTTTTTATATTAATCACAGGTTATTTACTTTGCATCCCAGCCGTAGGTCCTTCCCTCTTTCCCTCCCAATCCTACCCTCTCTCCCTCATCTCCTCCCTGCCCCTTTCCAAGTCCACTGATAGGGAAGGTCCTCCTTCCATCTGACCCTAGCTTATCAGGTATCTTCAGGACTGACTGCAATGTCATTCTCTGTGGCCTAGCAAGGCTTTTCCTCCCTTGGGGTGGAGGGTGGGGGGTCAAAGAGCCAGCCATTGAATTCATGTTAGAAATAGTCTTTGTTCCCCTTACTAGGGAACCCACTTGGATACTGAGCTATTACGGGCTACATCTGAGCAGGGCGTTTTCTCAAGACAATTAGGAATAGTGCTTCCTCAAGATCCAGCTATACTGCTCCTAGGCATATATCCAAAATATGCTCAAGTACACAACAAAGACATTTGCTCAACCATCTTTGTAGCAGCTTTATTCGTAATAGCCAGAACCTAGAAACAAGCCAGATGTCCATCAATGGAGGAATGGATACAGAAATTGTGGTAATTTACACAATGGAATACTACTCAGCAATTAAAAACAAGGAAATCAGGAAATTTGCAGGCAAATGGTGGGATCCAGAAAAGATCATCCTGAGTGAGGTATCCCAAGAGCAGAAAGACACACATGGTATATACTCACTTAGAAGTAGGTACTAGACCTATAAGATTGGATAAACATATTAAAATCTGTACACCTAAAGAAGATAAACAGGAAAGAGGACCCAAGGTAAGATGATCAATCCTCACTTAGAAAGACAAATGGGATGTGCATTGGACATAGGAGAAAACAAGTAACAGGACAGGAGCCTACTGCAGAGGGCCTCTGAAAGACTCTACCTAGCCGTGTATCAAAACAGATGCTGAGACTCATAACCAAACCTTGGGCAGTGGGCAGGGAATCATATGAAAGAAGGGATCATATGAATCAGGTGAAAGAGTTAGTAAGACCTAGAGAGGAGAGAAGCTCCACAAGGACCAAATAGAGCAGGGCACAGGGGTCTTCTATGAGACTGTTTCTCCAACCAAGGACCATGTATGGACATAACCAAGATATGGAGGTTCTAATGAGATGTCCTTCATAGTCTTGGGTGTTTGATCTCTTAGCTCCCAGTTGGTGGCACTGTGGCCTTCCTGGAGAAAGTATGACACTGGAGTTGGACTTTGGGAATTTAAAGACCCCTGCTATTTCTAGTGTGCTATTTCTGCTTCTAGTTTGTGCTTCAAAATGTAAGTTCAGATGTTCCTCCAGCTGCTATATGGCTGCCTGCTGTTCCAGACCACCATTACGGGGCACTAACCCAGCACAACCATAAGTCCAAAAAAACTCTTTCTTCTATAAGATGCTATAGTCATAGTGTTTTGTCACAGCAATAGAGAAATAACCAATTCACCAGCTGTTCTCAACAGCTAAACATGCTTATAGCTCCTCTGCCTTTACACTTTTTTTTTAAGATAAAAGGCCTAAAAGCTTGCTTCATAAGGTTATGATAATTGTGAAAGCTTGTGGTTCCACAACAACAATAAAACAAAAGCAAACAATAACAAACAAAAGAAGAAATTGTGATAGCTAAAATACTAAGTCTTTACATGGGGACCACTGTTACTGGCCTTCAGAGGCAAGGGGAAATGGATAAGTCATGTCCAAATTGTCCCATCCATTTAGTAACTATGCAGCATACAAGGTTTAGATACTAATCATGATGATAACAACCCGAAAATCAAGATTTTAACAAAAGCACACAAAGCCTGCCATTGTTAGTTTGCAGTCTAAGTTGGGTTTACCAGCTGTGAACAAATTTATTACAGATATTATTATAAACCTATAATCATATATAAGGTCTCAATCAAGTTGAAACTTTCTCAGTGGACTTGGGGAGTGGCATGCATGCAGAAAGGGGAGGGAGGGTGGGATCGGGAGGGGAGGAGGGAGGGGCTTATGGGGGATACAAAATGAATAAAGTGTAATTAATAAAAAAATTAAAAAAATAATATTTGAGCATTTCTATGATTTACTGGTATGTTTTCTCATCCAGCCTAGATTGACCTAGTAGCTTGGATCTCATCTCATCTTGAGACATAGACTAAAAATCTTAAAGACCAGATTTTATTTTAAAAACATTAAAGATTTATTTTTATTATCTTAAGGTGTATGTGTGTGTGTTTGAGTGTGAGTATGTGCATGTGGAAGCTAAAGAAATATGATTCCACCAAAAGCTAGAATTGTAGGTGGTTTTGAGAAACATGGAATAGATGCTGAGAACTGATCTTAGGTCCTCTGTAAGCACAATGTGGAGCTTTTACCCACTGAGGCATCTCTCAGGCCTCCAAAACAAGATATTAATTTTAGCTAAGAAATAAAAATAGAGTCCTTTTCACCTACTTTTTGTTCACATCTGACCATTCCATCCAATCTCATCTCTTTCATGATGCCATCTCTTTCAGTGCCTGGCCAAATTAACTTCTTCTTTAGTCTGTAATGACAGCACATAGTCCATATTTGTACACATAGTTTTATATTATCAAGAGAACTGTAATCGTATTTCCTGCGTAGGCCTCCTTCTATTTACTCACCCTTCTATGGCATAAAGAACATGGTGAACGATCAAATGGATTTCCACTTTTTAATGCTGACTAGAAATTTAGGTACAATGGCCTTTCTGTTCTACTGTTACATATGTTTTACAGTCACATGGTTTATACACTGGTTTGACCAAGATGATTATGTATAAATGTTATTTATGTTCATTTAAAAATTTTTATGAGAAATATTTCTAAATTGGGACACTATCTAGAGATTTCAGAGAAGAATATGCTGTAGAGTATAGCAGAGTTGAACTTGCATTGGTTCAAATACATTTCTTTTCTTATTTGAGCTATGGCAAAGCGATAAACAAAAGACAAATGGTATGTAAAGCACATGTCCTCTCAGGTACTCCACACATGATAGTTATATAAACATGAGAGGTTGGGCAGTTCTCCTAAGACTTTTCCTTTTATTCAGATTCTGTGTCCAGGATGCTGATAAACAGTGACTCCCAGATGCCCGGACATAGATATTTGCAAGATAGAGAGTCTACAGAAATAACATAATCCCTCATTCTTTATTTTTAACCTGTAAGCCAAGTTGGATTAATAGCTGAAGCAATGTATTTTTATTAATGAGAGTCAAATATTTTGTCTTGTGGAACTGTTTGACAAAGGCGTGGGCTAACACAGGGACAATCAAAAATACAATGCCTGGTATAAACTAATCTTTCAGCAAATCTTTTTGTTAGTGTAGAGACTTCAGTACCTTGAACTTCTACCCAGTTAATTTCAAGCTTTTTTTATATCATAAAAAGTACTTGGCCTTATAAAAATACAGTTAGAAGAGGTAGGGATAATAAAAGTAGAACTACTGATAATATTTGAATATGTTAAGCAAAATAATTAATTATGCAAAAGGGTGCTTAGCCAAAGAACAGAGCATCTTCTGTCATATGCTGAGATCTAGGCTTGCCCACTGTGCGAGCATGCCATATTGTTTTAGTCTCCCTAATTGTGTTTCCTTAACTGTTATGTGGGAATAATAAACCACTTGGCTCATTACTGCTTCTCCTTCTTCTCAGTGTTGTACACAGAAACCAAGGCCTTGTGCAAATGATCTACCACTGAGCGCCATGTCCCCAGCTGATGCCTTAGTGGATTATTACAAAGAATTCATTATTCTTTGAAAGCATCTTCAGGTCTCTAACACTTGGCAAACATCTAATAAATGGGTAATAAATACTGATAGTCTTTTATTATTGCTGGTGGATAAGGTTACTCTACTTTCTCATACATACTAAAACTTGGAGGGAAAAAAAAGGTATTATTGGCCAGAATTACAATAAATCAATAAGTCTAAACTAAGACCCATGGGTACTCTATTTACAATGCAAACATTCATTTTTCCTTTTGCTTTAGAGAAAATTAGGATTTCAGGAGGGAACACATGGCCCTATTCTATCATGTTGTGTTCACTCTGCTCAATTTTATATCTTCCCACAGATATTTACTGAATGTCTCCACGCTGGCTCTTTGTAACAAAATTGAACTTTCCTCTAACATAAAAAGGCAAAACTTGGAAAGATGACTACAGTAATTCTGTAAACAGAGCCCTGTAAATGCCTATCAGGTATGACAGATGACATTTTTCTTCACGGGAACTTTTGTCTTCTATTCCATTTATTCTCAAAAATGGTTCAAACATTTATCATGTTCTTTCAACAAAATTCATCTCCTTGGTGACTCCTTTTGCTTTTCTTTTTTACTCTAATCCTCAAGAATTCATAACTTCAAATTCTGGTGATATAAGACATAAAAGCCATGGGCAAATGAGAATCAAAACATTAATGTTGTGTTGCTATAGCACACAATAAAATCAAGAGTTTTTCATGTGTTTGACAAAAATTCAATATATCACTCATCTTCCATCTGATACAAATAGCTACTTCACTGTAAACATTTCTGCCTGGGCTCACAATGAGCCCTCCATACCCACCTTAAAAATAGAGTATATAAATGAAATAAAAAATGGATGATGAAGGGTTCACTTCACTGCTAGAAATGCTGCCCCCAAACACAACCAATGCCAGATTTGTGCTAGCTTTTGGGTCTTCTATTATACATCATCACCTAAATTCTTAGATAAATTAGAGCAATTTTGAAGTATTATGCAGTTACCCAGATAGGCATCTGTCAGGCATTCATGTATCAGATCTCAATTCACCACATGGCAAATTTAACCACAATCAGCAGTTGTCAGACAGACTCAAAACAAAATAAATTATCAATCTCGCCTTTTATATTTGAGTGTTTTTATATTCTGTGTTGTAGGGAAACAGTTTAACTAACAGCATTCTAACTATGATTGGTCTCTCCCGAGGAAGTGTTTTATGAGTCTGAGTGAAGATAATGACAGCCATTAGTCACCGTCATTAGCATAAGGCATGACACAGTGATATTTATAAGCAGCTAAGACAAGATGGGAAGCAAAAGACTCCCTCTGACTTGAGCCAGCTTTTAACTTCAGTTGACTGTCATTGCAGTGAAACTGGCCTCACATTAGTAGCATGCAGTGGACATGTGTATTAAGAGGTCTAATTTCTTCACAGTGCACCAAACTTGATGTCTCTAACAACCCCAAGCAAGCACTCTGCTTAGTGTCTGCCAAGTGATGTTCATTTGTTGCTTTCATATCCTTGGTTTCCCAGAAATAAAATCTCAGTATTCAATTAGAATTGAATAATTAGACTCAATGAAACTTCAACAACTCTTAAAAACTTCCAGGGTTCTTACTGGACATCACACTATCATCGAAAGCAGTGGCTCTCAACCTTAATACTGCTGTGACTCTTTAACACAGCTCCTCATGTTGTGGTGACCCCCAACCATTACATTATTTTTGGTGCTACTTCCTAACTGTAACTTTCTACTGTTTTGAGTTGTAATGTATATATGATATGCATGATATCTGATATGTGACCCCTGTGAAAGGGTTGACTGATACCCAAAGGGTTGCGATCCATATTTTGAGAGCCACTGATTTCAGTGATAAGGAATATGCATCAATATTCAAGGTTCTTACTTTGTATTACAGAAATAAAAGATGAACAAGAAGAAATGACTCAGACAGGCTGAGCTTTACTGTACTCACAGTGCAGACTGAATGGGGTTTGAATCGAAGAGTATATTAAAGCAACTCAAAGGCAAACCTGATTTTAGAGTACCAGAAGTCTAAACTTGTTTATATTCAACTCAACCCCCCTGATAGTATACATTTCCTAAATAAAATGTATCACATTTAAAGCAATAGTTGATTGATTGACGTATCAGTGTGTCCTCTCTAGTTTGTAGAAATACTGAAAATATACCTATGCAGAAATCTGGTCAATTTTAATTGTTATTTATTTATTTTTAAAATTATATATATATATATATATTTATATAATGATCATAGACCCCGCTCTCCTGTCCTCCCAGTCCCACCCTCCCACCCTCTTCATCCTATCCCCTACCTGCCCTTCTTTTGTCTTCAGAAAACAGGAGCTTCCCCACCCCACCCCCTGTTCCAACCCGACCCATCAAGTCGCATCCAGACTGAGCTCCCCCTCTTCCATGAAGGCCAGGCCAGGCAGCCTGGCTAAAGCGAAGTGATTTTTAAACATGAAAAATTATTTCTGGCTTTCTTGGTATTTGGAACAGATTACACTAATTTTCTGTTAATTTTAATATAAAATATCTGTTATCTTGAACACTGGGGCTGCTAATTAATTGACATAGCTGAACATCCTTACAGGGCAAAGCACACACTGGGAAGAAAAGAACACATGTTCTTCTGCACACTGAGGATAACATTACATTGCTCAGAGCATGCGTGAGTGCCACTGCAGGTATATTTTAATAAACCTGTGGCTGCCCTCCTCATGTCCTCTGCTTTAACCCATCAACAGGACATTCAGAAATGTTGACTGACAGAAGACAAGTTTAACGTGTCCTGTCAGTTTCACACTATGAACACCACTGAGTAATGGCAAACTTGACATTCTTGATCAAAGTGCTGGACGTTAGCATAATGGGCTGTCTGTTTCTTAGTTGGCATTCCCTAAACACTGTTGCATTAAAACATACGCTGAATTGGTTAGAATTTAATTATTTCAGGTCTATGTTTATGTTGTTTGCCATAAATATTCACTCATTGTTAATATTCTGACAGAGAATCCCCAGGTTTTTCAAAAATTATGGTGGTCAGTTCATATTTGCTCCTGTTCTAGAGGGGTTGGACAAGCTAAGATACAGAACACTGAAGAACATGTTACCTGAGCAGTTGACTTATTTTTACTTCTATCTCTCTATATATGCATATATAATTTGATGTTAAAACAAATCATGCACCTCCACCTTTGTTTAACTTTGTATTTAACTCATATACTAATTAATGTGTTTATTTTTGAAGCTATTAAAGAACCAAAAGGTAACAAAAATTTAAGTATGTTCTCTGGATATTTCACATATAAACTGATAAGAAATGAAGTAATAAATCCTCAGTCTTGCCTCCAGTTAAAATTAATTCAAAATGTTACCACAGATATTTTATAGTCATTTTTTTCTATATCAAAATTAAAGTACAAAGGATATTTTAAAACATACACTGGGGATAAACTTTAGGTTTGATTATTCTAACAGAAGCCATAAATTATTGCTTAACTTTAGCTAAAATTGTTGGGGAGTGTTCAAATGCTTTATGTTACAGACATTCTGTTAATACAAGTACACTCTTTGAAATACTGTGAGTGCACTCTTTGAAATATGACTAGGAGTGGTATAGCACTATTCCCAATTTTCTGAGAAAGCATCAGATTGATTTCCAAAGTGGTTGTACAAATTTACATTCCCACCAGCAGTGGAGGCGTGTTCCCCTTTGTCCACACCCTGTTCAATATGTGTTGTC